CCCCTCTAGGTGTTGTTCCTTTTTCTCCTTTCTTCCTTATCCTTCTCCCTTCCTCTTCTTTATCTGTTTTTTCTCTCTTCCTTCTCATCTCTCCCTCTCCCTTTCTCCTTCCTCCTCTCTCCCTCCCGTTCCTCGCGTCCCCTTTCTCTTTTTCCCTCCTCCCTCCCTGTCCCCTTATATATATATATATATATATATATATATATATATATATATATATATGTACATATAGTCTAGTATAGTCTACATGCTGCCCCTTTTACTTCTCTCCTCCTCTTCCCTCCCTCTCCTTCCCTTTCCTTCTCCTTCCCTTCCTTTAACCTCCCAACCCTTAGCCTTGAATCTTTCCCTTCCCTTTCCCCTCCCTTTCCCTCCACCCCTTTCATTTAGTCCTGAGTCTTTCCCCTCCCTCTCCCCTCCCTCTCCTTCCCTTTCCTTTTCCTTCCCTTCCTTTTCTGCCCCCCCCCCCTTAGCCTTGAATCTTTCCCCTTCCTTTCCCCTCCCTTTCCTCCCTGCCCCCCTATAGCCTTGAATCTTTCCCCTCCCTCTCCCCTCCCTCTCCCCTCCCTTCCCCCCCTTAGTCTTGAATCTTTCCCTTCACTCTCCCCTTCCCTCTCCCCCCCCTTTCTTTCTCCTTCCCTTCCTTTAACCCCTAAAAAAAAGGACTACCTCCCCCCCCCCCCCCCCTCATTCTACTGTAATTTCAGGCTTCCATCCTTCACGTGTTTTGAAGTTTCGATGCCAGTAATTAGTGAAGGATTGTTGTGTTCGTTTTTCGTTCCCTATTTCGTATTTTCCTTATATTTTTGCTCTTTCTCTTCCGCTCTGTCTCTCGTACTCTCTCTTACTCTGTCTCTCTGCTTCTCTCTCTCTCTCTCACTCTCTCTCTCTCTCTCTTTCTCTCTCTGTCTCTCTCTCTTACTCTGTTTCTCTGCTTCTCTCTCTCTCTCTCTCTCTCTCTCTCTCTCTCTCCCTCTCTCTCCCTCTCTCTCCCTCTCTCTGTCTCTCTCTCTCTCTCTCTCTCTCTCTCTCTCTCTCTCCTTCTTTCTGTTTGTGGGTGTATGTGGGTGCATATGTGTGTGTGTGTGTGTATGTGTGTCTCACTCTCTCTCTCTCTCTCTCTCTCTCTCTCTCTCTCTCTCTCTCTCTCTCTCTCTATCTCTCTCTCTCTCTCTCTCCCTCTCAGCCCCTTTCTCTCTCTCTTTCTTTCTTTCTTTCTCTCTCCCTCTCTCCCTCTCTCTCTCTCTCTACCTCACACCCCCCTCACTCTCTTTATCTTCCCTTTCTTCTCCCCAACACTCTCTTTCTCTCGAAACACTTCAGTGAGATTAGAAAGGGCGCCTGTGTTGAACATATATTAGCACATGTAACCGGTCTGGGGGAAAGGGAAACCCAGCCTTTGTAACTAAATCTAAAATATTGCGTTGATTCTACACCCTATATGGTAGAGAAGGGAACGTTATTAAATTCCTCAGTAGCGAAATGTTCCTGTAGGGGCGTAGTTCATTTATTCACCTATCTTGATAGATAGATTGGGTAGATAGGTATGTGTGTTTATATATATTGCATACTGTGTATGTATACATGTGTTTGTGTGTATATGTGATTGTTTGGTTGTGTGTGTGTGTGTGTGTGCGTGTGTGTGTGTGTGTGAGTGTGTGGATGTGTGTGTGAAGTCTAAAACCCACTTTGTGTGCAGTCTTGTGTGTTTTGGACCGAAACACGAGCTGAAATGGCAGACGGTGTTGATTTTTTATTTTTGGTCCGAGCTCTTCCAGGCTTTGGTAGGTTGAGTCGGAGCGTGAAGGTCAATGGGGTAGAAATTTATTTATTTCACTTTTGAATATATATATATATATATATATATATATATATATATATATATACATATATATATATGAGTGTGTACGTGCGCGTACACACGCGCGTGTGTGTGTGTGTTCGTCATCTCATTTAGAATTAATTCTCACTCAGAAATGAAAAATATTCATACTCACATGATTTTTTTAAACAGGTCTCACTCTATTTATCCTCCATCGTTTTTTTTCATCCAGGGAAAGCAGGAGGATAAAAGAATAAAAAGCCAGCATATTCTAAAAATAATCCATTTTCTCCATCCCACTCCAGCATAGCGAGGAAAGTCAGCTGGTGCTACCGCGCTTGGCGGTCCCAAAGCTGGCTACAAAACAAACGCCAATCATCCTCTCCTTCCTCTTCCTCTTCCTCTCCTCCTCCTACCTCCTCCTCAACCCAGCCACAGCGACAACCGGTAGTCCTCCGCCGCACGCCCAAGGAACTCTGGGAACAAGCGAGCGCAGAGACAGAATCGTCGACAGTTAAGTGGTTCCAGTCGCTGTTGGAGTCGGTGCCGCAGTTGAGTCTCCAGACCTACGTCCTCATGGAGCAGATCAGACGCTACCAGGACCCAGACCACGAGCAAGGTCAGAGGAATCGAGGGTGGGGAATGTAGAGAAAGTTATTCTTGTATAAAGAAGATGTGTGCAAAGACGTATATGTATATATTGTATGATGATGTGTGTGTATGTATACGTTAGAGGAACTTAATGATGAGAATGTAGGTAGTTATATTTGTAAAAATAATAATAATAATAATAATGATAATAATAATAATAGCATAAAAATAGAGAATAAAGAAGAGGATATATAAATGCATTGAAAAAACAGACACATAGTTATATTGTAAAAAAAAATATGCATAGACTAATATGTTTAAGAATGATGACTGAGAGATAATAAGGAGAAAGAGAAGAAAAAACAAGAAAACATTGCATATGCATATATGAAGATATAGATGAAAGATAAATTGATAGGCATATATATAGATAGAAAGATAAAAAATTGTAGATGCTAGATAAGATAGATAGATTGATACATAAAAAATAATAGATAGATTGCATAAATACATATTCAGACATACATAAGGAAAGAGAGAGAGAGTGAGTGAGAGAGAGGGAGAGAGAGAGAGAGAGAGAGAGAGAGAGAGAGAGAGAGAGAGAGAGAGAGAGAGAGAGAGAGAAAGAGAGTGAGTGAGTGAGTGAGAGAAAGTGAGTGAGAGGGAGAGAGAGAGAGTGAGAGAGAGGGAGAGAGAGAGAGAGTGAGTGAGAGAGAGGGAGAGAGAGAGAGAGAGAGTGAGAGAGAGAGAGAGTGAGTGAGAGAGAGGGAGAGAGAGAGAGAGAGAGTGAGAGAGAGAGAGAGAGTGAGTGAGAGAGAGGGAGAGAGAGAGAGAGTGAGTGAGAGAGAGAGGGAGAGAGAGAGAGAGAGAGTAAGCCTAAAAGGTAATGCAGCCAAATTTTATGTAAGTCGGATTATTGGGAAAAGAACAGGAAGAGAAGAACAAGAAGATGGCGCTGGAAGAACAGAGAGAGAAAAAAAAAAGTTTGATCTCCAACATAGGAAGTAGTTAGGAATGAAAAGGTGTATTTAACTGTAGGAAGGACAGTTGCAACTTGTAACTGGAAAGCTTATTTTCTGATACTGTCATGTATTCGCTTTTTGGTCTGTCTTTCCGTATTCATATAGGTTTGAACGATCTGCAACTCTCTCTGCCTCTCTCTTTCTCTCTCTCTCTCTCTCTCTCTCTCTCTCTCTCTCTCTCTCTCTTCTCTCTCTCTCTCTCTCTCTTGCCTCTCTCTCTCTCTCTCTCTCTCTCTCTCTCTCTCTCTCTCTCTCTCGCTCTCTCTCTCTCTCTCTCTCTCTCTCTTTCTCTCTCTCCTCCCTCCCTCCCCCTTCCCCTCTCTCTCTCCCTTCCTTCCTTCCTCCCCTCACTACCTCCTTTCCTTCCTTCCTTCCTTCCCTTTCCTCCCTCCCTCCCATCCCTTCCTCCCATCCCTCCCTCCCCCCTCCTCCTCTCTCTCCCATTCCATCCCTCCCACCCTTCCTCAATTGAATCACTGTCAACCTAAACAGAAATAAATGACATCTAAAATGAATTCAACCCGACATACGTACAGTAGACCGTTCCTCCTTCCGCTCATGTATTATACCGATTTCCACGAACCTTACTTGGAAATGTACGTACGTCGCCAGTCTACACATTGGCGAGGGATGTTGTGTTTAGATCTGTATTTTTTTTTTCTTTTTCTTCTTCTTCTTCTTTCTTTTTTTTTTGGGGGGAGGGGTGGTGGTGATTTTTTTTTATTTGTTCTTTTTTGTGTGTTTTAGGTGTGTGTTCGTTGTTAGATTTTTGTGTTCATTTTGTTTCTACTTTTCTTTGTTTCTTATTTATGTTACGAATTTAGAGAGAGGCACAGGTAGATGGATAGACAGACCGACAAAGAGACAGACAGAATCAATTTAGAAAGAGTGATAGAAAACAGAAATAAAAACAGACAGAGAGATAAACAAACACTAGAAGTAAACAAAAATAAAAAGAGTCACGGGGAAATGGTGATACTAAATACCACAGCATGACCAACAAATGCAAAATAATAATAATAATAATGATAATAACTTTTAAAAATACCTTCCCCGGTAACTAGTAACCCTAGTAACTATTAACCCCAAGTAAATAGTAACCCAAGTAACTAGTAACCCCAAGTAAATAGTAACCCAAGTAACTAACCACAGTAACTAATAGCCCCAAGTACGAGTAACTAGTAACCAAAATGACTCCAAGCACCCAGTAATCTCAAGTAACTAGTAAGCCCCGATTCCCTTCTCCCTCCCTCCCTAGTAACCCAAGTACCTAGTAACCTCCTTTCCCCGCCCCTGGACCAGGCGTGGTATCTGCAGCGCTCGTTGCCTCGGCGCTGGTGAGTCTGACCTCAGCGTCTTCGGGTCTGGCCTCGGTGCTGAGCGAGAGGGCGTGGGAGAGAGTGGCTGCTTCCGTCGCCATTTTCCTGACGCTGGGTAAGCTAGTTTGCTTTTTTTTTGTTTGTTTGTTTGTTTTTTTGGAGCTTGCGGTTTTGGGGGGAATTGTTGTTGTTGTTGTTGCTGTTTTTTTTTGTGTGTGTGTGTGTTTTTTAGGGGGGCGGGGGGATTTTGTTGTTGGTCATGGTATTTTTGCTGTTGTTGTTGTTGTTTTTGTGTTTTTGTTGTTGTTGTTGAGCGAGGGATTCTAGGAAATTAGCCTCCGTCACGATTTTCCTGACGCTGTGTGTGTTTAAAGGGGGGGGGGGTTGTTGCTGTTGTTGTTGCATGGCTGATGTTCTTGTTTTTTTATGGATTTTTTGTTGTTCGGTTATTGTTCTTGTTGCTTTGTTGTTCTTGTTTTGTTGTTGTTTTTTGTTTGTTTGCTGTATTAGTGTTCAGTTTTTTACTGTTGACGTTGTTTTGTTAATCTATTGTTGTTGTTATTACTGTTGTATTTTCTGTAGCTGTAGTGTCTATGTTACTAGCAACAGTTACGGCAATAGTAAATATACAGTTGGGATGTATGTGCTATTAGTGTATTTAGTAATTATGACAATTATGATTATCATTGTGTTGATTGGAATAACGGAGAAAATAATCATGAAAATAATTAAGATGATGGGGAGCTATTGCCATAATGAGTTACTTTTGATAATGATGATATGCAAATGAGGATTATTTCATTATAACAATAATGATTGTAGTCATAGTAATCATTATGACTATCGTTGTTGTTGTTGATTGCAATCATTATTGTTATTATGATTATAACTATTACTGTTGCTATTATTGTTATCATTATCTTTTTATTGCTGTGTGTGGTGATGTTATTGTTGTTCTTTTTATTGTTATTATTTTTAGTATTACGGTATTATTATGATTGTTATTATTGATACTATTATTATTAATGTTTTCATTGAACCGTATTCATTTTGACAAATGTAGAAAAGGTATGACTGAGAAATGAATATATTCACAATACAAGAGATGTAATTCTGATGAAGATGTAACAGAAACCGTTCAAATACATTTCTTGTATTGTGAAGATGTTCAATCTCGTTCATACTATGTTTTCATTATTATTGTTATTATCATTATTATTAGTGTTGTTGTTTTGTTGTTGTCGTCGTTGTTATTATTGTTATCATTATTACAATTATTATCATTATCATTATTCGTTATGGTTATCATCATCATCATTATCATTATCATCAGTTTCATTATCATTAATATTATTATTACTATCGTTATCAATATTAGTATTACTACTGCCACTACTATTATCATTATCATTATTTCCATAGTTTTCATAGTATTATCATCAGTCATCATACGTAGTAATTCTAATAACATTAAACTGACTTAATTAATAATACTATTCAAATATGAATTCATTAATTTAACACTAATAATGCATTCGTGATTCAGGACAGCCTTTTCTTTAATAATAATAACTTAATAACTTAAAAATTATACAAGAAGGGACATTTGAACAAATTGAATATTGATGTAGATTTGTGCAGCAATGCCAGCGAGTATATTTAAACAGTCAAATATTCATTTTCGTTAAAAAGTATATAGCCTGTGTTTTCGTTTCGTTAAAATGTGAAAGCACAGTAACTGAAAAAGTGAGATCAAAATAAATGTTTTGTTTTTTGTCTTTTTGTTGCAGTTATTTTTTATGTGAAAGTACATTCAAAAACTGTTGAAAGCATCGAAATATGACTGTACACTTTAGATTGATAGGAAAAATATATATATACGTATCAGCTGTACAATATATGACATGTTTTATGCCCATCCGTGTGGAAATATGATTTTTCTTCTCTCTCTTTGTACAAGGTATGAATTTTTTATTTCCTCAATAACAGATATTGATATTTGTTTCACTCTCCATTCAAATATGGAATTTATACCTCAATCAACACTCCACGACCAATGTCATTACATAAATAAAAATCGTATATCTTTAAAGAATAGAACCCATGACCGAAAGGGTATAGAAATCCCGCCCTTCAGACACCATTAAAGTCAAGACAGTGCCAAGTTACAAGTAAGAAATCCTCTCCTTAAGAACGATGACATTCTCCTTCAGTTTAATCCGACCAGGTCAACAGGGCATTGTGGCAACTTGACCTAGTATTCACACTATCGCTGGGTCTTACCCCCCCTCCCCCCCACTTCCCCTCCAACACATCAGTCCCCTGGCCGAAATGAGGGGATAAGGAAAGCGGTCGGGTAGGGGGGGGGGGGGGGGGTTCGGGATGAAAAAGAAATAAAGAGTTAATTGACTTCGATTTTCTATTCTTTATTTTTACTTTTTCTCTCCTTCTTCCTTTTCTTTCTTCTTTAGATCAGAAATCTCAAATAAAATCATTATCTATAGTTCTCCTTCCTATAAATAGTTTTATTCGTAGAATACGCATATATAGCTTTTATGAAATTAACCTTCTGCTAATTGTTATTTCTGATTGATGTGAGTTAATTCCTCACTATTCCTGTTACCTCATTATTGATGATTAAGAAAGGGCTGATAACCAAGCCTGGTATTTGACTCGCGGCAGCAGATCCGGAATTTTGTCAGATGTTTCTCAGCAGCTCGCAGGTCTGTGCAATACACTAAAAGCT